GTTGAGCTAAATTGCTGCTTTGCTGCTGATTCTCTGGGGAAGGCTTTTTGTACAGCTCAGGGTTTTTTGTTTTGTTTTGTTTTTGTCCTTTTTGAGACCAGCCGCACTGCGCTCAGCCAGTGAGCGCTGTGAGCGCCCTGGTCATCCCTATATAGGATCCGAACCCGCGGCGGGAGCGCTGCTGCACTCCCAGCGCTGCACTCTCCCAAGTGCGCCATGGGCTCGGCCCTAAAATTTTTTTTAAATGTGGAATTTATAAGAGGGGAAAAAAATCCAGAAAACACAAAACCCTGAAGTATAAATTTCAGAAAAACCAAGATTTAAAACATGCAGTCTTGGGGGTAAGGGCAATATTGTCTCCAACAGGGAGAAAATGGTTCTTGATGGTGAAAAAAATCTGCATCAGCAGATATACTATATATCTGTGGGACTAAAACTTTATAGGAAAGGAGGCAATTAGAGGGAAAATGTCTAAAAAGGCTCCAAAGGGGGTAATAATTAAAATCTTTAGAAATGCCAATATAAGGAAAAATGTAATATAGATGCATATGTTTTTCCTATATGAAAAACTAGAAATTCATTTATAGATTTAATGGAATTCCAATAAAAACATGCATGTCTAGAAATTGGCAAGTTATTCTGAAATTCACTGGAGAGAATAAAATGAGATGTATTAGATAATATTATTAGTGTTTACTCTCACACTTTAATAATTAAAAGAGTGTTGTACTTTTGGCATCAGTATGCACATTGAGATCAGGCAAGAAAGTCTGAAATAAGTGAGAATTATTTTATGATAAAGGCAGCATTACAAATTAGTGAAGAGGAAGATTATTATCAATCAATGGTTCTGGAATGATCAATCAACTAGTTGGATAAAAACATTATTGAAGCTCTCCCTCATAATACAGAATAATATATGTAACATAATAATCTAGATAGATTAAAGAATGAACACAGTCAAGGCAATGAAACAATGGAAACATGATATGCCTGGAAGAAAACATACAGGGATATCTTCCTCATTTGGTGACTGAGAGGGCTTTTGGAAAACATAATTTATCTGTTATAGTGAAAACAGATGAGATAAAGAAAAAACTTATTAATTTAACCAAATAAAAAATAAAAAGATCTATCTCAAAGAATTTTTATAAACAAATAAAACTTAAAAGCAACAAACTGAAAAATATTTGGAATATTTTCATGTATGACGACAGTTAACATCCTTGAGAAATAAAGAGCTCCTACGTGTCACTAAGGTGAACATGAGGATGCAATTAAATATGGACAGCAGGCGTAGCAAGCAGTTCTTAAAAGAAAGGCCAATGAGGTCAGTTTTCAGCTTATGAAAAACCTGTTAATTCATCATGAACTCAAAAACTACAGATGAAATTTAAATGGGTTTTTTTTGCTTCTTTCAGTCTGCAATGACTGACCAAAAACGCCTGTTATCTGGAGGTTTGGGGGGAAAATGGTGCTCACATAACACTGCTGGACAGAGTGTAGACTGGTATAGCCTCCCTTAAGAGAGGGGGGCTTGGCTTTTAAAATCTCCTTTAAAAATCTCCTTTTTTAAAAATCTCCTTTAGTTCTGGGCCGGCCCAGTGGCGCACTGCTACAGTGCACCGCTTGGGAGCGCGGCGGCGCTCCCGCCGAGGGGTCGGATCCCACATACAGACTGGCCGCCCACTCGCCGCGCGAGGCCCGCGCCC